GTGGAAAGTGAGCATCTGAGAACCTCGATCAAGGCACGGCTCAAGCAGCTTTATGAGGAGTATGTGCAGAAGATAGGTCCACCATCTCAAGGTGATAGTGGTGGAGGAAACATGAGTGATGATGGGGAAACAATTGCAATGTTTGAGATGTCTGATGACGAGGAGGAGTATGAAGGGAGGGATTCTTTATATTCTGAAATGGTGTCTGAGGCCGCAAATGAAGAGTCTTCTAGTGAGCTTGATATATATCTGATGGAAAGGCCTGTGCCAAGAAACTCAAACAAAATGGGGTTTGATTACAATGTTCTATCATGGTGGAAGCGTAATTCTGTCAAGTTCCCAATATTATCAGAGCTAGCAAAGGATGTTCTTGCGCTTCAAGTTTCTTCTGTGGCTTCAGAGTCGGCTTTCAGTACTAGTGGGCGGATTCTGGATCCTTTCCGCAGTTGCCTCACGCCCTTTATGATTGAAGCACTGGTCTGCACACAACAATGGCTTCGGAATAATATCAGTACAGAGAAACTTGCTAGTTTGAGTCAGATGTTTGAAGAACTTGATTTCCATGATTCTTTAGGTAATTGTTTTTGCATTTTACTCTTCTTTGCATATATCTCATGTATTTTTTTTTGAGGATCATTGACTGTCTTTCACTCTTTCTCATTATGTAGAGACTCTACCACTGCCAGACTCAGGAGAAGAAACGAACCAGTAGAGGTACATTCTGCCCTTTGTTACGTTAGTGCCTTTGTGTTTTAGTGTTCTGTTTTTAATTTTCTTAAAAATCTTATAAGTTGCAGGTTCAGATTCGAGACTGAGAGGATGATGATGTGTTTTGTTTTTGGTCCCTCATTCTATTTTTGGATGTTCTCAATCTTTTTTGGACTTTATGTTTGATGTATCTATGAATCTATGCCTCTTTGGATATGTGTTCATCACAAAGAGTTGTAGATTCATTAACAGAATGCTTGATTTTTTGGTTATGATGATTGAGAAAGGACGATGAATGTTATATGTATGTTTATGTTGTTTCTTTTTTCATTGCACTAACGTTTTTTGTTTTGTTTCAGGTGAAACCGAAAATAAGGCTAACCCGAGATTAACCGACTAACCGATAATAACCGAAAATACCCGATTTTTTTCGGTTTTGATTTTTAAAAATTGAAATCGGGTATTTTCGGTTTCTAACTTCAATTCCGAAAAAAACCGAAAACCGAACCGACCCGAACCGATTTACAAATCGGTTATTTTCGACAGATTTTTCCATTACCGAACTAACCGAGAAACCGAAGTAACCGACCCGAACCGAACCGACTAACCGAAATCGCAGGCCTAATACTCACCATTTCGGGATCAATAATCTAGAGGTTGGAGATTAGCCCTTATAATAGGCCTGAATGGTTATTAAGGATAATGACGGCCCTTTAGAACATTGGATGATACGGTTGCCATCTCTGTACGTCAACAATTGTTATATTTGAAATATTTAGGCCATAAATAAGCCCCAAGAGTTAGATTACAGACATCAAAAAGCATGACTTATTCTTAGGTTCACCCCATAGAACCTATAGATTCATCATCCAATAGAATTGCATTATTTTATATTTGATATATTTTTAAAAAGGAAAGAAAATTTTATTAAGTTATATTATGTTTTATAAATATAAAAATACATTAAAAATAATTAATAAAAACAAAAATAATTATTTTTAAAGAAAATATTTAAACACTAAACTCTAATCCTAAACCCTAAACCCCTGGGTAAATTATAAATCTTTGGATAAATCTTATAGTATTTTAAAAATTTAGTGTTAATGATTTACCCAATGGTTTAGAGTTTAGGATTTAGTGTTTATGATTTATACCCAAGGGTTTGAAGTTTATGATTAGAGTTCTTATTATTTATGATTTACCTAAGGATTTAGGGTTTAGGATTAGAGTTTAGGGTTTAGTGTTAAAATATTATCTTTAAGAAAAAATATTTTCGTTTCTATTAATTATTATTATTAATTATTTATTTTTGTATTTTTTTATTTTTAAAAACATAATATAACTTAACAAGATTTTGTTTCTTTTTTAAAAACATATCAAATATGAAACAATGCAATTTTATTGGATTGTGAACTTAAAGTTTACTCTAGGTGATGATTGAACCCAAGAATCTATATTATAATGATTCACTTTTGAAGCTCCTAAGGCTATCCACCTCAGCAAGTTTATGGGACTCACATGTGTTATTAGGGAAAACAAAAACGTATAACATTTTGTAAGATTAAATGTTATCGATGAGTGATGAAATGGCCCAGTGGTGTAAGCTGGTGACTAGAAGTTGGTACCGCGAGTGTGCAGGTTCGAAACGCAGTGTTTGCATGTAATTTTTTTTTTTTTAATTTGTCTTTTCAGGATACCTAAAAGCTTAGGGAGATTCAGAATGATTTTTTATGCTGTTTGTTGGGATACAAAATAGCTTAAGGATTTGAAACTTTATGATACCATCTTAGATACTTTTATAAGAAATGTTATCATGTTCTAACCTCCAATATCATTTCAATTCAGTTATAATAATCAAATAAAATAAAAACATATTTTTCAATAATAAATATTTACCCCGAACCATTCAGATCGGCCATAAATCTCATATACATCACAATTAAAAAAAAAAAAAATATATATATATATACAACATAATTTCAGAAAGAAAATTACACTAATAAACACATGTCCTTTTTTGTCTTGTCTCCATTAAATTATTTTTTTACATGAAAGCACTAATAACAGTTATGCTCGATAAAATCACTAATAAAGGGAATGCTCGATAAAATCACTACGAAGAGAAAATATGAAAATATCAACCCATATGAATTTGATGTTTATTCTTTTATCAGACTAATCAAGTTGTGTGACTTCTAATGTTTCATTCATCACTATTATAGATAAATCAGATAAATAAATATTTAAAAAAAACAGCAAAGTTTCATACACAAAACTACACAACACATTAACAATGTATCCAACCCCCGCGTTTGCGCGGGGACTATGCATATAGTAACTCAAAAAGCATAGTTGTAAACACTATTTATTTTTTGCCTTCTTCTTTCGATAACGAAAAATAAAACTTTGTATCACACACTCGTGACGTATCACCCACAAGAACTAAGTCGCACATACTTTAGCACACGTTATTGGAACAGGAAGCTGTAAACATTTCAAATTCATAATCATATAATCATAAGCATTTTAGACCGAAACAAAACAAACAAAAAAAAACAGAAAACCTTTGATCGGACTCGGCACAAATCGTTAATCATGCAGGAGACTGCTCCGTTGCTAGACGATTCTCAACTTGGAGGTGAAACGAGATCGCAATCCGCAACGACGACGAAGGTGCCGGAGGTGGAGATCCATCTATGTCTGACTGAGGGAGGTCCGATCCATGTTTTCAAGTGGAATCTTGGAGGTGAGGAGCAGGATCATCTCGAGGTTCGACCAATTTTTGAAAAATATGGATTAGAAACCATCTACGCTTACACCGTTGACAACGCTCGAGGCGGCGTCGTCCACGTCCCGATCAAATTTGACCCTACGAGCGCTCGGTCTCTGCTGACGTTCAGAGATGGTACCGTCGTTCACATCATAGGTATTAAACATAAGGTAATCTCTCTTTCTCTCTCTGAGTCTTTTCGATTAAAGTGTTTGATTTTCGTACGAGTAGAAAGAAAGTCAGCGACTTAACTTAGATTGTGTTTGACCAAATTAACTGATTTTTTTTTAATGAGTTATATATGAAATTTTGGTGATGGTTATAAATTACATAGTAATGTGCTGATCAAGTCCTAGGAATTCAGACGATATTTGTCTGTCGTTTGTTCTTTTGACACGTCTCGTGAATGTCTTGTCGCCTCTGCATGTTATTCATGTTCTTGGATAGAGTTAGTAGAATTAATCGAGAGTAGCTTTTTGCATTCATTTCTGTGTTATTGGTCCCGTGAAACTGCATGCATGTCATCAATAATCTGTATACGCCCTTCACAATGCCCCGGCCTGAACTCTTTCCAACATTGTACGGACCCCTATATATTCTGATATACTAATCTATATACAAAATACATAATATATTTTATATATTGTTTTACATAAATTCTCTATATATATTTACATGTATAGATTCTCATATCACCTCTAATTTAAGTGATAGGAATTTTTTTTTATGGAAAAATATTATTTATATTTTGATTTTAATTAGTTTTTTCGTATAGTTTTTTTTTCCATATATAGCTTTATAATAAAATGAGATTTAAAAAATGGAATGTGCCCCATTAAGTCAGGCTCGACCCCTAGACTTCAATTCACGTGTATTCGGTATTTTTCATAGAAGCACAATTGTAGCTCATAGATTATAAGAGCATGATTAACCCAAGGGTTCTTAGGCATAAGTTTTTAGGATTTTTTTTTTGTCTGAAAAAAAATCTGAGCCAATCGCGGATAGTCATATGTTGGTGGAGTCCGCGAACATTTCAATAACCTTGTAAAAATCGCCTCTTAGAAAAAATACATAAGGGATAACTCTTAGATGAAACCCGCAAATTTTTAAATTAATTTTTTCTCTAAGAACCATGGCTAAGAGCTCCCTTTAATCATGCTCGTCTAATGTACAAACTAGAAAGGGTGACACGATACATGGAACTCGTTGGAGTTAGCAAAAGCTTTAAATATATGCTTATAAGAAGATTAAAGAAACCGTTAAAAACATGCAGAACTTTAACCACACGGAAGGTTCTAATAAGTTGCAATTGATAACTGAGTGATTCATCTAATGCATGATTGCTTTTGAATACTTCTTTGTTCTCAGAATCCTGTGATCGAAGCCATCAAAAATATTGTGCTTGCAACCGTGTTTGGTACACTGTTAAAAATGTTTCTATTGTGGATCACTCCAGACAGCATCCCTCCGTGGGTGGCCGTGTGCATAATAATAGTAGTCAGCTTTGGGAGGAAGAGCAGCAGAGACCTTTTCAAAGACCTTTTCAGGGAATTTGGCTGGCAATATCACAGATCCTAACACTCTTATGGCTTGTAAATGTGGTCGAAATTGTAACATCGACCATATATGGAGATGTTATCTTGTCTCAACCCAACAATTTCCCTTCTTTGTTGCTTTGATAAGGCCTCGTGCGCCAATAATCTTGCTTTCAAAACCAATAGAGAGCAATCATTTTCTCGTATTTGCATCTTGTTGAACTTGATATAAGCTTTTATCCTATAACTTATTTACTTTTCACCTGGTTCCGAGCATCAAAAGAAAGCCAATCCAACAAGTTATGTATGTTGAGAAAAAAAAAAGACACTAGCACGAGTGAAGTATTATCTCTATAGAATAAAACATAACATAAAGATACCTCATGATTCTCCAAACCAAACCAAACCGGAACCATTTTCAAATCTTAAGAAAGAGAGATACCAATGGTCTAAGAGCATGATTATCGCATAGGGTGCTTAAAAGTTTTTTTTTTTTCTTTTTTTTTTTGTTTTCTGATTAAAAAAAAAAATTAAAATAGAACCAATCGCGGGCCGCCACGTGTCGTGGGGCCCGCGTAACAGTGCAAGCATCCAAGAAAAGCTGGTGCTTATTTGGGCAACTGAAGCATCGACTTTTTCTTTTTGGTGGTCCCCCCCCCTCTACTTTTTATGATAAGCACCCCCATTTTCTTGGGGATAAAGATGTTCTAATGAGCCGTCTTATCTTTTAATAACACTAGAAACTTTTCCGGGCTACGCCCGGATTTATTTGTATAATTTTTAGTTCATTTTATGATATTATGTTATATCTATTTAAATATGTAATATTTATATTGGAAATTATGAGAGTATAAATTATTAAAATGAAGTTTAAATTATTAGAATGTAAAACATTTTTAATAATAAATAACACATACTACATTATTCAAAATATTATTACAGTAGAAAGTAGGTTTAAGCTCAAATAATTTAAAATTTTAATTTCAGAACTTATTCATTCTCTTTATCTTTTGGATTTGTACTATCTAATTTGTGGCTAATAGTTTGTATAAGTTTTTACCAATAAAACTAATACTTTTAGACGTACAAATGAAAAATTAAATTGTTGGAGAAAAAATTCAACTTCAAATGTTGGATCTAAAAAATATTTTTGTAAAATATCTTATTAAAAGGTAAATAGTTTATTTCTTATTGAATAGTTTTTTCTTAGGATTCATAAAAGTTGAGAAAAACATAATGGTATTCATTAAGTTCTTTGATACATGAATTCTGGTATTGACCACCCTAGTTAAAAAAAATACATAATTTCTTAATTTCCAAATAAGTGTCGTTTATAATTTTAATACAAAATTTATTAATTTTATATGCTATTTTGATTTTTTATTAATTTCAATATGGATAAATATACATAATGATGTTTATATTTAGTAAATATACAAAATTAAATATATATATTTTTTTAAATTATTGCACAAACTTAAAGTGAGAACTAAAATGAAAATGATGTAATATTTTGTTAATCAACATCTTGTATGGTACCATAGAAAGACATTATTAAATATAAATCATATAATATTTTGTTACAATAAAACCACTGTTAAGATTTGGCCATTTGGGTACTAATTTTGCATCTAATTAGTCATTTATGAAATGTTCAAAAAAAAAAAATTAGTCATTTATGAAATGTTGTGTAGTAAAATACTACAACGACCAGAAATAGAATCATGTTGTCTTCTAGTGCATGATATATACTACATTATTTATATATGTGGCTCATATAACAGAGCAACACAACAAATCTTTTCTATGTTTATTTTTTGAGGCCAACCATCTGATCTGGTGCATGTTTATTTTTCGAGGCCAAATCTTAACACAGTGCATGTTTATTTTTCGAGGCCAACCATCTGTAGATAAACCTGCAGTCACAATTTAGAGTTATAAATCTAATAAATACAATTTGTTTGTTTGTTTGCATCCAAAGGTAATCACCTAATTAGAAGAATTCCCATGTTTATAACCAGTTTGATAAGTTCATATAGAATTGTGTGAAATCTCATTAGACGGCGTTTTTATAGTGAAGAATCAATACAGTTGTCATCTGAGAAACATTGCATTTTTATAGTGATGACATGGAGTTGGACAATCATTTCCTAGCCAGCCGTATTCTCTGAAGTCAACAAATGAGGGGAAAAAATCAATCCCATGTGAGCTTCTTTGATATTAGGTGCTTCATGTAGGTGAAAGATTTACTTACTAATCAATCTTGAAAATGCTCATTAGAGGAAGACAGGAAAAGAGACATGAGTTTTGGTGGATGGTTTTGTGGCTGTTCTCTGGTTGGGTTTAGTGTTTTTTTGAGCCATTTCCGATGCCATGAGCAAGAAACCATTGAAAACAAACGAATAAAGAAACTGTGGAATTATAACTGTTAGATTTGCAGGAATAGAAACATAGAAAAACGTGAACCCATTAGAGATAACAGCAGGCAAAGAGGCATCCTTGTCTATCAATAGCTGATAAATACAAATGCTAAATGATTTCATATGAGTTTTACAAAAAAAAAATTAGAAAGAGAAACCAGGTTGTTCGATTATTTGGTTAAGCAAAGTATATATGTACATATTACCCGATAACATTGCATGTTGCTGTCACATGAAATCTAATAGAGGTCTGTACTCCCAGCACCTTCAATACAAAACAAAAGTGCCAAAGGAAAACAATAAGCCAGAGAAAGTTTTTCTCTTAAAAATCTCAGCATCAATCGGTTAATATGATAATAACCTTTAAGATAAATTGTGGTTCCATCTTCCACAGCGTCCTGAGCAACTGAAGCTCCCAATTTCAAGAACAACTGCACCGTCTGTTTTTCTCCGTATATTGCTATGATTATCACTTCATGGTTGAAATACATATTTAGCTAAGCATGTCTATTGAAGCCACACGCATTAACTCTTTCGAAACACTATCAAATATTTTGATCAAATCCAATAACTAAGGATTGTTACTCTTCAATAGGCTCCAGTAATGGGGGACACTTGGTATACATCTGATCTGTGAATCTATCAACCCAAATAATCAAACACAATCACTGTGGCAATCTGTGAGAATAAGATTTTATCAAATGCTTACATTAGCACAAAAAAGTGGGAATCAAAATGACTACCCAATGACCGACCATGTTGGCAAGCTTGCATGAAAGCCATCTGTTTCCGGAATCAAGAGCGTTATTACCTGTCCACGGTAGTTCCAGACATTGATACCAACTCCTGATTCCACCAACAGAGACACTATTAGGATTATCATCATCAATCCATCATTACCATAAAAGTCAGAACTTTTTGAAATCTCTGAGATCTTACAAACTGGGTTACTTCGTGGTGGCCCGGCAGCATAACTAACAAACGCCAAAGGTGGAGTAGCGAGCATCTTCGAGAAATTAAATAGATTTTTTTTTTTTGTTATTCTCCTACTGAAAAAACAATTCCACATCATTTGATTGAGCAGTATTACTGCTTGACATAATATAACAAAATTGGCAAACACCTAAGAAGGTGGAGACAATGTCCAAAAGTAAATTGTACCTTTGTGTTCCTCCGTCTGATGAATAGGCTCTGGTGAAAAATCGTTGACGAACGCGGCAATGGGAGAACTTTCGGTGGCGATGGGAGACTTTCCTTTGGATTTTACTGACATAGCTTAGCTTGAACTGAGGTTTTTGATTTGTGTTAACCTAAAGATTAAATGCGATTTATATAGGAGGGGAAAGAGGGGAGGTGGATCGAAGCCGTGAAGAAAGTAAAGAGGATAATTGATTTGATCAAGCGTGTGTCGCGGGGTAACGGCGATTTGTAGAGAATTGGAATGGTGACGACGAAGTGGATGAGGAGTCGGGGAAGATCATGGGCCGTAACGAAGTGTGTATTGGCAGCCCACAAAAATAGCTCATATTGTATTCTTTGGCTAAAGCTAAGATGACATGGCAAAATAGGGATACACGAATGGACGATTTTCTCTGCTGATGTGGACAATCTCAAAGGGCTTGTTTTTCCCCTTTTAATATAGTTAGATATCTCAATCCCCTAATTACTAACTTGAAACGGCGCCGTATGAACCTAATAATTACTTTTGTTTCCTTCTTTTGACAAGTCTAAAGGAATGTCTTTATCCTTTAATAATCCTTCAGGCCCAAGAACAACATTATTGACCTCAGAATATTTAAGCCCATAACGAGGCCCGACTTCTAATCTATTAACCTAAACGACGTCGTTATCAACAGAATATTTGTTTTTGCTTCTTTCAATAAGCAGAGAAGAAAACCTTTGATCGGGACTGGCAAATCGTTAACCATGTCAATAGGAGCGATGCAGGAGATCGAAGAAACTGCTCCATTGCTCGACGTTTCTCAACCCGAAGCCCAATCGAGATCGCAATCCGCGACGACGAAGGTGCCGGAGATTGAGATCCATCTGTATCGGAGTGGGAAAGGTCCGATCGACGTGTTCAAATCGAATCTCGGAGGTTGGGAGCAGGATCAGCTCGAGGTTCGACCGATTCTTGAGAAATACGGATTGAAATCAATCTTCGCCTTCAACGTTGACAAAGGTCGAGGCGTCCCGATCCGGTTTCAAAGGAATGGAAGGTCTGTGCTGACGTATAGAGATGGTGCCGTCGTTTTCATCGACGGTGAACCTCAGGTTATCTCTCCCCCTAACTCTCTTGTTCATTCGGAGTCTTCTGATTGTTTAGATTTTTGAGTTTTGAGCTAAAGTTTGTGTGATTGTGTTGACCTGATTAATAGATTTTGGTGAAATTTTGTTGTGATTAGCTGATAAGACCATGATTAATCCAGGGTTCTTAAGGCGGGTTCTTATCGGAAAGTAAGAAACTGGTTCTTAACTAGTTCTTAGCGTTTTTAGTTAAAAGTTAAGAAATAGTTTCTTAGTTTCCGCTAAGAACCCGTCTTAAGAACCCCGGGTTAATCATGCTCTAAGAGCATCATTATTGCAGGTTTCTTAAGGCGGTTTTCTTATATTTCCCTAAGAATCCGCCTTAAGAAACCTGCAATAATGATGATCTAAGAGCATCATTTTCTAGAGTTTCTTAGGGCGGATTTCTTAACGGAAGTTATTGTTTTTTTTAACTTTCAACAACCGGTTCTTAAATATACCGGGTCTTAGTTTTTAAAATTAAAAGTTAAGAAACAATTTTTTTAGCTTCTGCTAAGAACCCCACCCTAAGAAAAATCATGGGCTCAAGAAACAGTTTCTTATATTCTCTAAAAACTCCGCTCTAAGAAACTTTGGATAATGATGCTCTAAGATTATTATATCTCTGATTTAGAAACTAGATAAGGATGACATGGTTACCACGGAATTGTAATTGAGTGATAATTCTAATAAGTGAGTGATGATTCATCTAATGACATGATTTCTTCTGGAACGCTTCTTTGTTTTTTCAGGATTCTATGATCAAACCCGTCACAAGAATTATTCTCGGAATAGTATTTGCTACGCTGTTAATCACGTTTCTAATGAAGGACCCTCCAGCGTGGATCAAGAACAATATCTCCATTGGGAACTTCCCTCCGTGGGTGCTCGCGTGCATAGTAATAGTGTTCACCCGAGCTAGGAAGAGAACCAGAGACTTCTTCAGGAAGTATGGCTGGTGATGTCACAGATTCTAACACTCGTCTGGCTTGAAATGTGGTCGATATTGTAGTCCTCCATCGATCATATATAGAGATCTTATCTTGTCTCAACTCTCACTCGTTGTGAACCGCTCTTTCATCTTTGATAAGGCCTCATGCGCCAATTTGTTTGCTTTTAAAACCAAGAGAGAGCAAGCATTTTTTCTCCATTTCGCATCTTGTTGAACTTGATAATTTTATGCATTTTTCATGTGTATGCGATGTGGTAACTGATGTTATCTTCTGAAAACCTTGGTAAATATGAAAACTAACATGTCATGTATAAAACCAAGTTTGGGAAATATCTAAAATTATTTGACTATGCAGAGTTTTTAACATGGATTTGTAATTATAATTGAAGAAAGTATATACAGTATATGGGTCACTGTCCAATGAAGCATCTACGAAAATTGACGTGTACAAGCAAAACTAGCAAACAAATGTTAGATACAATTTCATTTGAAATGATCAAACTGTTCCAAATATTATAATATACTATCTAAAAGTTAAAACCAATTCTTTTTTAATATTTTTTATATCTTTGGACTCTATCCTCATTGGATACTACAAGAACAAAGTTATTATTTGAATATTTCATCCCATCACTAAACTGTGAGTTGGTGCCTATTGTTAATGTGTTACAAATCGTTTCCTCACTTGTTTTGAGGCTTCGTGTATACACTTTTGTATCTAACTTCTTATTTTGTCTTCTGTTTATAATCTACTAATTGCAAACTAAGAACTTGAACTAAATTTTCGTATGTGTATACAAGACTTTGTCTCCATAGTAAACTGGTCAAATCATAGACAACTCAAAAATAGGTGGTACTTTGATTTGATCACTAGAATGAAATATTCACGTTATTACCAATTCTCAAAGATGCACAAAAAGCGACAAAAGAATAAAAGAAAAAAGAAACATGTACTTCCATTAGAAAAGACTCGAAAAAACAGGACATGTAGTGTCCACACATTCGTTCTAAACTCAGTTTAATCATCGTAAGTAAAAAAAAACCCCATGATGGGTCCAATGTAAAACTCGGTCAACTTATAATTTAGGATCTCTTATTTATAAAAAACAAAATGTATTCACTTGGTTCTTTTGTTTTACGTATTAATGATGAACATTGAACGTGAGTTTGACAATAATTTCATTTGTTTTGAATGCATAAAAGTTACTTGTAATTAAAAAGACTTGCAACAAAAACACAAGATGTACACACATTTGTCATTTACACAGTTTTATCATGATAATTTTTTTTCCTGTTTGAATGAATATTCACGTTATTACTAATTATTAAAGATGCATAAAATGTACTTCTAATTAAAAAAGACATGCCACAAAAATACAAGGCGCCCACACATATGTCATTTGCTCAGTTTTATCATGAGTCAGTCACAACAAAAAGTTTATGTATTATTCAACACGCTTTTTTTTTGTTTTACATTCAACTTTTTTTTCTATCACTTTCTACTCATAATTGATCATACATGCAAAATTCTATACTTTACAATGATTTTATCTTTTTAAATTTTTTTGAAAATTATCCATCTAATTTTACTTTAGTTATTATATTTTAATAATTAAAATACAAACAAATTTTATCAGAAATAAACCTGGTAACTATTTATTCAAATTAATTAATATAACTAAGGGTTTATTATCTTAGGTTTCTATTTTACGAAAATAAATTATAAATGAAACTGACAAAATTACTAAAAATGAAATTTTATTGGAAAAATAGTTAGCAAATTTTACAACACCTGTAATAGAATAATTCAATAGTGAATCACGTAAAGCTCGGTCAAAAACCGAAAAGACACATGAGATCAATCAAAACTCAGATCCGTAGGGACCGTTTCGTTAGTTAGCGAATGTATAAATACAGACAACACAACCTCCACTGTCTTTACTACTCCTTACGTTTACTCAAGAGTATAAACTAAAAACGAAAAAAAAAAATCAAAACATCAAATAAAAAAAAAAAATCTCACCAAAGATTTTTTTTTTTTTTTGGAACACACACACACACACAAATCTCCTCTCACTATCTTTGCACACACGCCTTTAAAAAACCCTAGAGATCATCTACCTATGGCGGCGGCGGTTGCATCTGGAATTGCCCCGACGACGGCGATGGTTGATCAAGTCCCTAATCAACCATCGGTTACGGTTGCGTCTCCTCAATCCACGACTCCATTCACTCAGGTAGCCGCCGTTGCTGCAGCGGCTGCAGCCGCGGAAGCGTTACAAGCGCACCCTAACTCGTCTCTGTACGTTGGAGATTTAGACCAAAGTGTCAATGAGGCACATTTGTTGGATCTGTTCAACCAAGTTGCTCCTGTTCAGACAGTTAGGGTTTGTCGTGATCTCACTCGCCGTTCTCTTGGTTACGCTTACGTCAACTTCGCTAATCCCGATGATGGTACTCTTTTTATTAAATATTATTTCATGGAAATGTGGATATGTCTATGCGTTCAATTACATAATGTTTTAAAAGATTTATGTTGTTTCCATATTTTGAGGTTAATTTTATTTTTATTGATTATTATTCAACCAATAAAATTTTACAATCATTTTTTTTATAATTTGCTAAATGATTTTAAAATTATAAAATAATTTTTAGAGAAATGTAAACTTTTTACCCTTTGATTGGGTCAAATTCTATCAAATTTATGAGTGAATAATTCATATATGTAGTTTCTTGCAATTTAATTTTTTTTTTGGTTCAAATTTCTTGCAATTTAATATGAAATACTTTTTATAAAAAAAATGTAAATTTTTTAATCATTGTGTAACAATCCAAAACATCAAGAGTATAATATAAAGTTTTGATTTTTTTTAATTGTAACAGCGATGCGAGCGATGGATAGTCTGAACTACACACCGATCAGAGACAGACCCATAAGGATCATGCGTTCGAACCGTGACCCGAGCACGAGACTAAGCGGGAAAGGCAATGTTTTCATCAAGAACCTCGACGTATCGATTGATAACAAGGCTCTGTACGATACGTTCTCTATCTTCGGGACTATACTCTCTTGCAAGGTAGCGATGGACGTAACCGGAAAGTCGAAAGGTTACGGTTTTGTTCAGTTTGAGAAAGAGGAGACTGCTCAGGCTGCTATAGACAAGCTTAACGGAATGTTGCTTAATGATAAGCAAGTGTTTGTCGGACACTTTGTTCGACGTCAAGACAGGGCTCGGTCTGAAGGTGGGACGGTGCCTAGGTTTACTAATGTGTATGTGAAGAATCTCCCTAAGGAGATTGGTGATGATGAGTTGAAGAAAACGTTTGGGAAGTATGGTGATATTTCGAGTGCGGTTGTGATGAAGGATCAGAGTGGGAACTCGAGGTGTTTTGGGTTTGTGAATTTCGAGAGCCCTGAGGCTGCTGCGGTGGCCGTTGAGAAGATGAATGGGATTAGTCTTGGTGAGGATGTGTTGTATGTTGGGAGGGCTCAGAAGAAGTCTGAGAGGGAAGAGGAGCTGAGGAGGAAGTTTGAGCTAGAGAGGATAAGTAGGTTTGAGAAATTGCAAGGTTCGAATTTGTATTTGAAGAATCTTGATGATAGTGTGAATGATGAGAGGCTTAAGGAGATGTTCTCTGAGCATGGGACCGTGACCTCATGCAAGGTTTTGTTCTTGATTCTAAGACACATGTTCTAACGATGATCCTAAGCGTAAGTGTGTGGTTTATGATTGTTTTTAGGTTATGATCAATTCAGAAGGTGTGAGCAGAGGGTTTGGTTTTGTTGCTTATTCCTGTCCTGAAGAAGCTCTAAGAGCTGTAAGTGTCTACTAAATTCTCAATCGGTGTACATACACATATATTATAAGCATACTGATGTTGATTTGAGATGATGATTACAGATGAATGAAATGAATGGTAAGATGATAGGAAGGAAACCTCTTTACATTGCTTTGGCTCAACGCAAGGAAGAAAGGAGGAACCACCTTCAGGTTCTTATCCCTCTCTCTGAACATTATGGCTTGGTAACGATAATGATTCTGATATTCTCTTTTATGTTTTCTTGTTTTAGACTCTATTTTCTCACATGAGACCTAATGGGACAATGTCGCCAATGGCATCACCAATGCCTGGTTTCCATCACCACCCACCAGGAGGTGCAATGGCAGGACCACACCATCCTATGTACGTAGGCCAGAACGGTCAAGGCATGGTTCCGTCACAGCCTATGGGGTACGGTTACCAACTTCAGTTCATGCCTGGGGTGCGTCCAGGTTCTGGTCCAGCTAACTTCATGATGTCTTACCCACTCCAAAGGCCAAACCAGCCTGGTCCTCGTGTTGGGTTCAGGCGTGGTGCTACGAACATGCAGCAGCACTTCCAGCAACAACAGGTATGTACTGCCTTTTTTGTTCAGATCTATGGGACATTAGCAAATAGTGTTATCTTCAACTTGGCTAGGGCTTGTTATTTGTTTTGAAACTGGCAGATGATGCAGCAAAATGCAAGTTCTGGAATGAGATACATCGGAGGCCCGGGGAACAGGAGGAATGGAATGGAAGGAACTGCTCCACAAGGCATCATCCCTTTGCCATTAGATGCATCTGCAATCTCTCACAATGCATCTCAAAACCCACAGAAGCCACCACTCCTCCCTATCTCTAAGCTCATGTCTGCCTTGGCTGTGGCCAACCCTGCTAATCACCCACAGGTTTTTCTTTTCGTGATCACATCTTAGAGTTGCATTAGACTAGGTTTGTTGAAGATTTGTGAAATGATGATGACAGATGCTGGGAGAGCAGCTTTACCCACTTGTGGAGAAGCAGGAGCCAGTTCATACGGCTAAAGTCACAGGGATGTTGCTGGAGATGGACCAAGCAGAGATCTTACATCTTCTTGAGTCACCTGAAGCACTTAAGGCTAAAGTCTCTGAGGCTTTGGATGTTCTCAGGCTCTCTGCTAATCCACCAACTGTGTCTTCCGTTGATGACCAGTTCGCTCCCTCCTCAACCGAGTGACCTGACTTCTTAACTCAAGACATCATTTCATTCTGGCTTTTATTAGACATTATCTCTTTCAAAAAAACTAGTAGGAATCTTATGTCTTTCTCTCTTTTGCAACTTTAGTTTGTTTTGGAGTTCAACTCTTTATCCTTTCTTTTCTTTTGAGACTTCTACTCTTAGCATCTTATGTAGTTTCTGTTTTTGAGTCTATCTAATGATTCAACTCATTTGCACTCATTCTTTAACTTTTTAAAGCAAATGCGTCTAATAATCTGCAACCTGATTAACATATCACATGAAATCTGGATGTACCTCGTCATCAACAATCTGGTACTCTGAACTCACATCCGTAACACCTCTGTCCCATTCTCCAACACAATCATCCTTTAAAGCTCCTATTCCACCTTGGTGTTCTCCTTCGTCATCTATCAAGTAAGCGTCCCATTTCGAAGCAGGTTTAGTAACTCTTGCTGATTCAAAGTTTCTCTGTTCTGTATCCTTCTTCTTATTCATCACTCCATCTGCATAATGGAAGAGAATAAATTAACCTAAACACACAGCTCTAATCCAAAACAGTGATGTTTTTGTATGTCAAATAAACAAGATTCAAATCATCCAAGCAGTAAACCTTGCTTTTTGATGCTGCTTCTTGACAAGGAAGGCTCCTTATCGTTTCTTTTAACGCTTTCTTTACCCGATGATGTAGAGTATCTGTTAAGTTTGGGCCTTTTGAACATCTCTTCCGGAATCTCAGTCACAATCTTCAAATCTGTAAAAACAAATTAGTCTCTCAATATGCAAAACAATTTTTGTTTTTGTTCTTTTTTTTTCTGTAACAGCAAAACGATTTTTTTTTTTTAAAAACTACAAATTACCTTCTTCTTGTTCGCCGTGTTCCTCTAGAGCTAATCTCCGCCGTTGATTATGTGAATCGGAATCGAGATACTCACTCCAATCAGATCGCTTCTTACTTCGAAGATCTGAAAAAACCTCTGAATCGGCTTCAGTCTCAGGGAAAGTATCTGCGACGGCTTGGTTCTCCTCATCGGCGAGTTTTCGAGACATGTTGAAGGATTGAACGAAGAAGCGAAGGTCCTTGGCTTTGAAACCTTGAGCGAAGACTTTCCGCACGGATTGCTTCTGATTGCAAATGACGCAAGTCCAGTTGTTGCTGCTTTTCTTCTTCTGCTTTACTTGCATCGTTGAGCATTCGAAACATTGGAGTGCCAGGAAGAGAATACTCGACATTTTTTCCTTCTTCTTCTGCTCTCTAGGGATTTCGATTTTTTGGCTCTAAATGTTTTTTTTTTTGTTTTTTAAAGTATTTTTAAGCGCCAATTTGGTGGTTTTTGGGCAATTCGAGATTATTCTGTATCCGGTTTGGTTTATAGAAGATTTTTGGTTTGGTTTGGTTCAGTTATTGTGAAAAGAATTTAGAGAGTTTCGGATATTTTATGATATTTAAGTAAGTTTTATTTTTAAGGTTTTGGTTTGAGTAATATTAAAATTAGGAATAGTTTAAATAAAGATTACTTAATTTTAGTTAGTTAAAATCCATTTTTCATTTAGTATTGATCCGATGTAATTATTTTGAATATCTATGTATAAACCCGTTTTGTTTATTTAAATTAATTTGGTATCTTTCCTCAGATTTAGTTCAGGTAGATTATTTTGGTCAAGTAATAAGCTCAAGATCTATAAATTAGTATTTTTCGAAAAAAAACAGGAAAGTAAAGTAAATTAATTAAATGAACTAAAAAATATTGTTATAAATATAGATATTAAAAATAAAAATGATTAAAATATATTTAAATATTTAATAAAAAATAAGTATATATACATCTATATATAATGATTAACTAACCTTAAATATTTTTGTTTAAAGTTGAGAAGTAAAGTTTTGGATATAAAAATTAAAAAAATTAAAAAAAAAAAATTGCAAAATATAAAATATTATTTTTGTCATTTTATTTTTGTGATAAAAAAATTAAAAAGATATATTTGAGAAAATTTTCCTAAATAAATGAATTTATGCGTTAGTATGTCACCATCGATTACCTTAATGATTCGATTTGATTCGATTTAAAGATTCTTTTGGTACTTCTACGTAATATGTAGACTAACAAAAAAAAATTAGGAAGCTTCGGTTAATATTGGTTAACCTCCCGCGTTTGATCTGAAACCTAATTGGTTTGATACCTTCTAGTTAGGATTGATTTCGGTTCAGGTTTTCCGGTCTCCATTGAGCCCTAAAACCCAAATTTCTGTAGCTCCTCCTGGTGTGGAAGAGTAGGGACCATGTCATCGCTAGATAAGCACACAGAGAAGGTCCTTTTCAGCGACAAAGTAATCGCTTATCGTGTAGCTCAGATCGGAGCCGAGATTACCTCTCAGTTCTCTACCTCCGGCGACTCAGAGCCGCCCGTTTTCGTCGGCGTAGCCACCGGTGCTTGCCTCTTCTTGGCCGATCTCGTCAGGCAAATCCACTTTCCCATCTCCATCGATTTTATCAGAGCCGATTCTTATGGCTCTGGTACTGTCTCCAGTGGATCTCCCAAAATCTCTTTTGACTTGAAGCTTGACGTCACGAACAAACACGTCATCTTGGTAAGTTAAATCTCCGTCCGCTTCATCTCATATGCGTGTGTCATTAATTTTGTTTTTTTAAGTACTATGAGTTTCAGATTCATATAATTTTTTTGAGACCACCTTTGATGATGTCTTTACATGTGATGTTGTCTTAGCTAAATCATTTTACATATGTCTTTCTTTTGTTAACTAGATATGTTTTTTTTTTTGTAAGGTTGAGGACATTGTGGATACTGGTAATACGATCAGTTGCTTGATCGAGCATATGAAACTGAAGAAAGCATCATCTGTTTCAGTCTGTACACTTCTCGACAAGCCAGCGAAAAGAAAAGTTCATTTCGAGCTGGTTGGAGACGGGAAGTTCTATAGTGGTTTTGAAGTAAGCTACTTCTGCTCCTTATTGGAATTTCAGTATATGGCTCACCAATTGTGTGATAATTGGACTTAGAACCGTAAATCCATAAACTAGAACTTAGCTTTTAGAGTTTGTAATATTCAATAGTATTTGGTCTTCTTTGTTCAGTTGTTGCAGTGTTATGTCTAATCAATGATAAACAGAGAGGTTTATTGTGTTAGGTGCTTAAGAATAATTTGGTTTTCATGGCGTTGTGTTGAACCTTTCTGAATATGTGCAGTGTCCAGATGAGTTTGTTGTGGGCTATGGCATGGACTTTGCAGAGCAGTACCGCCACCTTTCTTACATTGGCGTATTGAAGCCTGAATATTACATGAAGTGAAAGTCAGTTCAGTTCATATCTATTAAAAAAATTACTGGCCAATCATGAAAACATTTGTGACTTGGCCCCTTTATATTGTTGTTCAAAGCAGTGAAATGCAAAGTTATAAATTATAATACAATTCGGCAATGATTCTTATGCAAAAGTTGATGCAGTAAGGTGTGTAATATGTTAAGCAAGAGCTTCACAAAATATACATAAATTTTATAAACAATACGATACAGTGCATAGACATTATATTCCAAGAAATAGATACAAACAAAACAAATGGTAACATCCGACCATAAGGGATCTGTCTCCCCTCTTTCACTTTGTTACTTCCAGGTGAGCAGAGGAAGAGAGTTCTTGGCCGGAGGAACAACAAGTCCATCGGAATCATACAAGATAACCCCTGAGAAATCTGGAAGCTGGCATTTTCCACCCATGAGAATGTTCTTCTGCCACAACGGACCACGTCTCTGATCCCCACTCAGCAGCATGCTCGGCTCGCCGTTGTCTAGCTCATTGTTCATGATCATCATCGTCATGTCATTTTGGAGATGTATAACAGGTTCATGATCTCTAGAGCCATAACAGGCAGTCCAACGACGAAGCTTCCTCTTTGAATGAGAAGCGAAACCTGAAACGCCAACCAAAAGATGTTTTGCTGCAGCTAAACCCATTTCAAAAACTGTCTGAGACTGCGTTTTTGATGGTGGAATGGGACTAGCCATTGATGTGTTAGTTGTAAAAGCCAAGATTGTTGGTGTTTTTGTTCAAAGGGTTGAGTTGATACCAGTCTTTGAACTCAGGGATTTATATAGTACTTATGTCAATGGAAATGGAGTGGTTCGCCATTGGAACTTGGAAGGGTCAGTGAGAAGCTTTTGGTTCAGGTGCTAATGTGGTTTGGTTGATAGTTTGACCTTAACCATTCTTCTTTTGACTTTTTCCTCCACGTGACATTTTTTCCATGGGCCTCGTTTAAAAGCCCATAAAGCCCAAAACTCTCTTCCTCTTCCTCTTCCTTCCTTCTATAGGCAATCTGAATTTCATTTCTTTTCTGCGCCGCCGACAAACAGATTCACGGAGAAACCTTAACACGGCGGCGGAAACCATGCGTCGTCACTCAGCAATCGCTCTCCGAAACCTATTCGCTAGAAACTCTCTACGAGTCTCTCAGAATCTAACCACTACGTCTTCTCCAGCTGCCGTGAACTCGCTTGGCGGTGTCTCCGCTCGTATCTGGTCTCCTTATTCGACATCTAGTCTCGTCAAAGCATCATTCAGTTCACTGATTCAGAGGAGATTCAGCACGGCAGGCTCTCCGCCAGATGTGAACAAGGTGGTGGACGAGATCAATCTCAAGTTCGCGGAGGCGCGCGAGGAGATAGAATTGGCGATGGATGCGAAGGAGACGGTTTACTTCAACGAGGAAGCGGAGTGCGCGAGAGCAGCCGTGGCTGAGGTTATGGAGATGTTTGAGGGTTTGTTAGAGAAGGTAACGGAGAAAGAGAAATCGTCTCTGCAGAGGTCCATGGGGTTAAAGATGGAACAGCTAAAGGCTGAGCTTCAACAGCTTAACGAATGATTATGTTTTGATTCTGTAAGAACAAAGAGGTTAGCAGAAAACTTTTCTTTGTTTTGATTACCGAATCATTCATTGTTCTTGTCTGATTCAATAAATGTACTCTTTGGATTAGAGAAACATCATTGTTGTGTGTTTTGATCTTTGCATAGATACACATCTACTTTTGCAAGAACTTAGAATAATTTACTCATAGTAACATATAACAATCGCAAAATTCAAATACAGTCATTGTACAACATGTTTCGTTAACAGAATCTGCGATTACGTCACTGACTCTCGAACTTGAACCAGTCCCAGTTAGCGTAGATTTCTTCATCCTTTCCCTGAGGGAAGCTGCTTGTGATCGGAGGAGGATGATCAGTAGTAATCTCGCTTCTTTTTGTCACAGTAGGCATCTTTGCTCTGTACTTCTTTGCCATCTCTTCAGCTTCCATAAACACTTTCTGCATCCACAAGAGAATAGGTTTACGCCCTTATGAGTGAACGAACAATGTCAATAAAAGGTTTTGCAAGTTGTACCTCTCTGTTTGTGATGAACAAACCGGGCTCGCTTTCAAGATCTGCAATGCTGTCGAGACAAAAAGAACAGAAGTAGAAGAAACATGTTTTAGTTGTTCCTGAGGACCAATGAGTTTTGGTTGTGTTGCTGTTTAAGGTTTTACCTTAGAGAGATCTTGTCTGGAAATAGAGATTTTACAACGAGAACCTTTAAGCTTTCGTCCACCTGAAGCACATCGCTAACAGATCCAATTCTTCTGCGGGTTATGTTTGAAATGTGTAGCAGTCCACTGTGGCAGCATGCATTAGTAAACGAAATGAATACAAAACAACAAACTTACTGCAGCAATAGACATGAACACTAACCTTCTGCTACTATCCCCGAGTTTGACTTGCGCTCCATATGGTAAGATTTTCGCAACTGTTCCTTCTAAGAGTGTTCCTTCTTTAAGGTACTGCTTCTCCTGTTACAACATTATGCGATATATCATTTACGCTCGTCATTGGTTTGTTCTTGTTCATACAAGACAGAAAGCGAAACCAACCCAAGCTATTTTTTCACTCAGTATCAAGTCGTTTTTGTCTTCATTCAATCGTGTAATCTGCACAACCAGTCTACGACCCACCTGGAACACACAAAAAAAAAACTACTGCTATTCAGCAAAGAAATCACAATGGTTACAGCTGAAGAAGAAGAAACTCTTGCTTTACGTTTTCCTTCAACTCCGTGAAACTATTCACTCTCTTCACCAGCTCCTGCTTTGGAATAAAACCTCTCAAACCCTGAAGTTAAAACCAACACAAAGTCATTGATCATCCACTTATAAGTCATTAACTCAAACCAAACATGTGAATCCCCAAACCTCAATCCGAGTCAAAAGCCCTCCAGTATTCCACTCAGTTATCTTAACCTCAACAGGCTCATTAATCTGCTTAATCTGCCACCACAACAACAACAACAACAAAAAATCCAACTCTTCACTACCATCATCTCACCTACATCAAAAACCAACAACAATTCTCCAAAAAAATCAAGGGCACAAGAAAACAAGAACCTGCCTCACACGATGCCAAGCAATCCTCCTAAAATAACGCCTAGAAGAAAGCAAAGGCCTCCCACTCAACGTCCTCCCCAAAACCTCCGCGAATATCACCGTCCCTATCTCCACCACAGGCCTCCCTTGCCTCACAAACTCCGCAACTTCAACACCATCTCCATCACCATCCTCCTTAACAATCCCCATTTTACCATTAACCAAAAACTCCTCCGCGTCGTACTTCAAATCACACAGCAAGTAATCCAACTCTTTGACGTATAACGGAAGTATCTCTTTAGTCAACATCGTTCCTAACGTATCGGCGCCGATACTTATATCGAGCTTGTTCTCGTTGCCGGAGACAACAACGCCAACGACGAATTCGCCTGGTTTGGGGTCGTAATACTCCACGGTGAGTCTCTCACTCTCCGTATCATCATCGGAGACTTCTGGTTTGATCTCTTCTTCTTCGTGCTTGAAGAATTTCAGAAACGGTTCTAGGATCTCGTCGTCGTCTGCTTTCTCAGTCTCCTCCTCGTCTTGTTTCGCTACAGGATTAGGCTTGTTCCGTAGCTCAAGCTCCTCCTCCTCCGAGACGATTCCTCCGTTTTGGAGATCTGAAACGCCGTCGTTTGAGCAGAATCTTCGAACGGTGAATTCGCGACAGACATAGAAGCTACGAAACGGGGAGAGGCTTAGGGATGTTCTGTGAAACTGAAACTGCGAAGCTTTCTCCGTTGATTTGAAGTAGATACAGTCTCTGACGTCACCGAAGCTATGAATCGACGAGGCAGTGAAGAGAGATTTACATGGCTGAGTGAGAAGCGTTTGCATTTTTTTTTTTTCTCTTATCCGCCGCGCGGAGGATTCTTCAAACGGTTTATTTTATCCGTTTCTATTTTCGCTGGTTTTCATTAAAACGGCCTTTAATCTTGTAAAATTAATCAAATTGGAGACAAAGTTTGAAATGTAACAATGGAACCCATGCTGCTTGAATTAACAACAATCCGCTGAACAATAGGCCCAACATTGATAATGGGCCTAATAAATAGTGTGGTAATGCGTCTAATAAGAATGGACCCATTGTTTACACGGACCGTTGCGTTTAGCAAAGAACCTATCAATAATGCGGTTGGCGGGTCAATTTGTTACAGAACATTTTAAGAGTGGTAAAACCTTTTATTGGTTTGGATTTTTGGACGGTGCTAGGCGCTTTGGTAGATTGTTAGGCAACCCTACATAATTGATCATTAATTATCAGTTTGTTATCATTTTTAGGTGGTAGTTTGGGTTCATGACACATACATGGTTGTTAAAGTTGGCAAATGTGTTTTTCATACAGTTGCATATGTTGTAATCATAAATTGAATAGGTGTGAACTCTACGGTAACATGTGAAGCCTACCTCAATTCGGGTGAGAAGACCTCCAGTATTCTACTCGGTTATCTTAACTTCAATAGGCTCGTTAAGTTGTTTGATCTGTCACAGAACAATCCACTCTTCGTTAGAAGCTTACTAATTCTTTCAACCAAGAACAGTTTTGAATCAATGCACGAGAAGAGAAACTGCCTAACTCGGTGTTAGGCGTTTTGTTTATTGAATGACTCTGTGTTAGACGCTCTATCCCGCTCTGTGCTAGGCAACGATACAAATTTGATAATTAATTATCATGTAGTTTATCATTTTAAGTGGTAATTTTGCAGTTTCTAGTTACATAAAATTAACTTAGTAAGTTTTGGGTTCACACATAAATGGTTATCAAAGTTGGCACATGTTTTCTGAATAGTTGGATATCAAAGTTGGCACACAAATTAATTTCAAAAAATATGTTGATAAAATGTTAAATTGTATATTAATTTAAATTTTGGCAGAATATCTCAGCAGCTATATTTTGTTAACATTGGTTTCAGTCGAAAGTTTGACAAACAAAAGTAACTTAGTAAGTAATATGAGTGATAAAACTTATACTGAACCTGAATGAACATACTGCTTTGCGGGTTAAAAATCATTTGCGTCGGCCAATAAATCCAGTATGCACACTACATTTCAATTTATTTATTTTTAATACCTTCTTTTAATAAATGAAAGAGAAGTTTTGTTCATATATAAAATGTTGGATTATAGTGAAACTAGTAGACACTATACAGCGATTAGACAAACTGCATAATTTCAAATCGTAAATTATTACGAAGATGGAGATGAGATGATACTTGCAGTTTCTTGCCTGACCAAAACCCAACATCACTTTAAATAAATAACTCTGTTTAATTAACATAATTGCGATGGCCTTAAAAAAAAACTCACCGATCTATTATGATTAGTGATGGCTTTGTCACATATTTCAAAATTATATAATAATTGTAGATTACATGTCGTGCTTAATCAATAAGTCATAAGTCTATCAGAATTTTAGTGCTCGGTGATTAGCATCAGAATATTACTATTGCTCCCTCTCCCTCATAGTGCAATAATTTGATATATTCATAGATTGAGATTAGTGGTTACAGAAGAAGAACCAAAAGAGTATGTACTAAGCATTTAACGTAGGCTTACAAAATGTTAAATTAACTTTCAATGGTAATATAATACTATTATCACACTCAAATACGTGTTCTTGTAGTAGTTGCAATTTTATTTTTTTATCAGTTTGATAAATCCTTGCACTTAATGTTCAAAAATAAATAAATAAATAAATAAATAAACCTTACATTTGCCTCATCATCCGTGATAAATGTAGTAATAATGAGGGTGTCTATTCACAAATCAAATAATAACGAGGTCGTCGTTATCGCTTTGACAGATATGTGGTGAGTTAAGAAGAAAACGAAATCTGATGTAAGACAAGTCCCAGCTCTCCCCGATCCTTCTCTTCTTCATATATATAATAGAAAGAAGAAAACAATTTGTAAATTACGTGGTGAGTTAAAGTTCTATAAATTTATACGAATCATAATAGATCAAATATACATATGACACATACGATAAATACCAAAGATTCTAACCACGAATCAAACTTTTCTGTTTGATTTTGAAGTCAAATGACATGTCAAGATGTACCAATACAGCTGTGGTTACACAAACCGGAGGTCCAATATGCGAAAGAACCATGATGTACCTCCGGTTTAAACTTTAAACTGCAGTCTACATGTGACTGGTGTGGTATATTAGAGAGATCAATGTCAAAGAGAGAAAGAGCACTATCACCCTTGAAGTTTTTGATTTCTTCACAGTTGTCACTCACAAGTCACAATGAAAAGTTAGGAATATTTGCCAGCTTTCTGCTGCTAGAAACAAATCTGAAGATAAATAAATTATTCATTATCAAACAAGAAAAAAAGAAAGATGGCTTTGATTTTTTTTATTATAATTTTTTTAAAAAATTCTTATATTATTTAGTTTGTTTTAGTAGTGGAGAGTAAAATCCAATATATATTATAATCTATGTTCTTACATTTTAGTTATCACAAGGAAAGAGAAAGTATGTGAATATATTGTACTATTATCCAAATTTATACATTATCGTTTCCATTTTCCCTTTCTTTTGTTCTTTTTATTTGATTGTTTATAGTATTTATATAAATTTGATAGTCTTTTTGTTTTGTTTTGTTTACCTTGGATCTAGACCAAATGGGAAATCAACTTTTGACTTCTGTCCAATGCTTTATTATTTTCACAATGATGCAACTAAATTAGAAAACAAAAGTAATTTGGGTGATGTGTTATGATAATACAAAAATAGAAGATGATATTCCTATATTTTCTTCTTTCGTTTTCAATATTCTTCAAAAACTGTCTCTTGCTCAAAAGATACAAAAATATGTTCCCTCATAAATAAGTAGAGACAAATAACTGAGCAATAATACTAATCATCTATATAAATAATTTATTGCCACACATATAAGGGCCTAGGAGTTACAGAGAAAAGATTTTTCTGAATCACATATTTTTTCCTTTTTGAATAAAATTAAATGAATTTACGAATATTAAAAACATATTAAAATTTTGACTATATATACATCCTTTGTCAACTAGTAATTTCAAATAATTTGGTGTTAGTAAATTTAAAATATGTAATCAGTTTTTGCAATTTATAATTTATTATTTTTGATTGATAAAAAATTGTAAGAAACATGAGAATTTAAATTTTAAAGTAATAAAATAAATAAAAATTTGTTTGAGTACACGTGGCATGAAATTATAGAGAAGTATAAATGTATAATAAAAATCGATATTATATGCTTAATATAAAGTTATAGACACAAGTATAAATGGAGAAGCAAGAGGTAGGGTGAAGAAAGATTTGTTTCGACCTTCCCAAAAATAAAAAGCTCACATTCACACTTAGAAAAGTCCCAAAGAAGCATTAATTGCATTTCCTCTTTCACCTCCTCCTTCTTCTTCTTCTTCTTCTTCTTCTTCAAGTCGTCACCTCCTCACAGTCACAAGTAGTACTTTGCTCTGATCTCCTTTTACATTTCAGACTTTTCTTTTGTGGATTTCATTTTCAAACACTGTTTGAAGGGTTTAATCTGAACACAAAAGATTCTTTTTAAAAGCAAGTGTCTGTTAACACTTTCTTCTCTATATCTAATAGACATTACCAATCTTGTTATTGCTTCATTATTACAAATCTTGCTATTGTTTCGTTACTTTTATGTAACCGAAAAAAACATTCGTATGTATTACTTAAAAATGGATATGGAATATTTTTTTGTGAACCTTATCTACAGGCTAAATATAAGGAACAAAACAAGTAAACAGAAGAACAGTGAGTTACTGTGTTACTTGGGACCAATATATTCCCAAACAAAGGTATATTTGGTCACTTGTTTTTGTACTCGGCTCGTTATCTACACAATCTATAATACTAGAATATCATATCTAGCTATTATGCGGTTTAATTCCCAAAGGTGTTTTTTCTTGTCTTTGTCCGTTATAATCTATAACAAAATCTGAACCCTATTACATTGTTCTTGACATTACCTATTTATGTCGAAATTAATATTTCAAATAAATTTATTTAAAGCAAATGTTGGGTTAAAACCTTAAAAAGTATATATTGAGTTTCAAGTTTGAAATGTATATACGAAGAGAGTAGTTTTTTTTTTTTTGACAAAGGGCTTTATATACGAAGACAGTAGTTGATTGGACTATTAGAGTCTTTAATCTTTCATGTCATTTTCGAAGTGGAACAGTTCGAATTTACCTAAAGCTGAGAATAAAGTGGTTTATACGTTCCCATCAGGATAAAAATACAAAATTGTCGTGGTGTAAAAACAAGTTAAAGTATTCGGTTTAATTTTATGGCGGTATTCAGTTTATTAGACTAGAAAAAAGTTTTTTCTCCTTCTGAATTTTACTTGGTGTTTTTTTTTGAAATTAAATATACTATTTTAATCGTTGACAAAAAAATATCTACTATTTTAATCTACATTTCGAGAAAAAATAAAGAAAAAGTCTTGAGTTTCTACATTTGAAACAAATACTGAATTAATTGAAACAAATACTGAATTAATTGTTGACATCAACTGGTTAGACGATGTTTATTTAATTTAATCAAAGATGAAATGCCACCTTATCTTTAAACTGGCGTGGACATGTGTAGCCAAAGTTCTGGCTACGATGATTTGGCGTCGACCATTGCCTATATTGTGGACTGTGGTCAAGATTGATGTGATCCCAAAAGGAACCAAACATGTTTTCGTTTTTCTCAAGATCTGTTTACCTCCATTCTCTCTTATTTTGCATCCTTTTGTTTCTGCTCTCTTAATTCCTTTGTTGTTTCTTTAGTCACTGACCCCATCCTCGTCCATAGTTTTGTGGATGCATAGAGTTAAACATTTTATCTGTACCTTTCCAATATATTTTTGGCTAAGTCCTTGGAAGATATTATAAGCAATTGATGTTTGTTGGTATGTTATGCCGTATTTATGCTGACTTCCAACAGTAACAACCAAATTAGTTCTAGTGCCGTTCTCATGGTTTTAATATAAATTGTATTACTCTTTTATGTTGAATTTTTTTTATAAATTATTTGGATTACAAAAAACTAACAAAACACAGTCTTGAATATCACTAGAGATATGAAATTATATATATATATATATATATATATATATATATATATATATATATATATATCATTTTTGGTAAGAATACATCACGATGAATTGAATTATTTTTTGAATTACTAAAACGTTCTAGGTCGAAGATTCTTACATCTTTATAAGAAACATAAACTATATTAAATTAATTATCTTTATGAGATTATATCATATACAATGAAAATCGAACACGCAGCCTCTTCCTATTGGGTGATCCAAGAATTTTATCCATATGCCAACTATTCGTTGGTGAATTAATTGAACTTCATATGTGATTTGCACCCTTATTTCTCCAACAATTAGGCATGTGAAGAACGTCTGTAAGTATCTCCAGGTTTCAGCAAATTAAATCAATAGTTATCATCTAAACTTATCACATTATGATGGTGGTAGGGTATATGTGCAGAGGACTCTCATGCAGTTTTAGGCGCTCAGTTATTAACAATATTTTTTTCTTTTTTATTTCAGGTGACAGTGGTCAGGAATCCTGATACAACTGGATGATAAAAGGTGACTTTCTGTTCTTTCTTAAAAAATTACTTAGTGAAAGATTGTTTTTTTTTCCATTTATTTTCTTTTATTCAATATATATATATATATATATAAAATTCAAAACAGACTCTTGAAAAACACATTTAAACCATTATAAACCATGTTCCAAAAAAAAAAAAAAAACCATTATAAACCATGATCTTAGTGATACGACTTAAAGTGAAACGAATAGTAAAATTTATACCGAAATTAGGTTGAATTTTACAAATACATTAATACCAAAATAATCTTGTTCTGAACTTTTTTAACAATTGAAGTGTTTTCCGCATTACACAGTCATGTTTCTTCGCATTACACAGTCACATTGAATGTCTCTTATATGGATTTATATGCATTAGCACTGATTTAAGCTTTAATCAATAATTTATATGGATTTATGTTATTTTGGATAATAACTTAATTATATAATTTTAAACATCTACTGAATTCGGAAATTCAAGACACATAAACACTTTTTAAAAATTTCATATTCAACTAAAACTAGTGGAATTATCTAAAAATATAGGTCAAATAATAACAAACCTTAAATCTTTTATAACTTGTTATTACACCTACCAATATAAGAAATCCCAATATATTTCATGTGGACATGCAAATATTAATTAATTATTTTATAGTCTACACATTTTTTATAGATTAGTCTGGATTATTCAATAGATTCAATAACTTCAATTTAATTAACAAAAAAAACAAGAGCACATGATTTGAATAAACAAGTGTACACAGTTTGAAAGAATAAAATCAAACGATAATTTATGTTAAATTGTTGCTGGTTGATTTTTTCAATTAAACTGTAAACTACTAAAAGTAAATTTGAGCTATTTTGATTAGTTGATCAGGTGAAAAATCATTTTTATCTTTCTCACAAAAAAAAAATCATTTTGATTTAAATTATTTTGGACTTTAGGTGAAAAATCTAGAGCTATGAAAGAAATAGGTTGGGTAACATACAACACACTCGTTGCATCGAGACCAATCTCTAGTTGAAGGTAGGTGGGCCCAATAGAGTCCAACTCTTCGTAGGCTTCTTATGTGGTCCGTGTATTTCTTGGGTCCCACATCTCACCTTACCGACCTAAACACCTTATCTATAAACCGGACTCTAACCGGACATTCGGACCGGATCTCCTTAGATTGCTTTTTCACCTTATCGACTAATTTGGCGGCGGCATGTACTCTGCGTTTCTCTTTTTCCTTTTTCTAGTATTCCGAAAATAATCTTTGCTTTTTGACATTTCTCCTTCACATTCGTAATGGTTAACAACTTTAAGGGCCCCTAACTTTAATCTCTTTTTAACAAAAGAATTGGGGTAAGTTTTCACAACATTTTTTTTGTGTCTTGCTTGCAATTTTTAACCTCGAAATTTTGAAACTCATTAATAATGACATTCGGAACAATTTTAACAGGTTATATATTATTTTTAATAATGGTTATTTTTTCCATATAAAACTCTGTCAAGTACTTTAATATTTTGGGTCAAGCTGCTCCACAATGGTTATAATAATTGTTGGCTATTATAATTATTTTCAACACTACTGTGGATGATTCACAACGACAGAATATGATTTTTTTGGCACTAGTTTGATTTTTGGTAAGGTATCCGGTCCCTGGTTATGAAAAATAAAAATAATAAATGTTTACAATTCCAAAGTTAATAGTTTGCTGGTATAGTGGCATACGCATTATGCAAACGAGTAGGCACGCCACCACCACCCTTTTGTTACCCACTTCATGTTTTCTTTTCTTTTCTTTTCTGACATTTTAGTTTACCTATCAAATATATAATTCTAAACTTACAATCAGACGAATTAGTTTAGTGGTAAACGACCTACATCTGCAGATACGACCATTTGGATTCAACTTATTTTGGCTACTGTAATTTCACATTTGAGGAGAACGATACAAGTTAATCCTTTAGGTCTAGGAAACTTTTAGGGAATCTATGTATAATCATAATTTTAAACTTACCAAGCATCCTTGCCACATTATAAAGACAGATCATGTATAAATCCACTTTAACATGTATAGAAGCAGTTGAGTCCAAAAGTTAAAGTCCAAATGGCTGAGACTATATTATGCCAAGATTCAGATTAAAAAGTAGCTCCCGTGAGGGTTGTTAGACCGAGTCCACTATGTTACCTAGTGTGCATATTTTCATAGTTCTTAATTCATTATATAAATGTAAATCAACTTTTAGTTGGTTGATATAATATACATACATTATCATGCAAAAGTGATCAATGTAACGTAACAAACTAATTTAACGTGGTCCAATTCTTGAAAAGTTATCTTATAAGTTCAACCAGGGACGACAATGCGAGTTATTATATTTTAATTTAATCATAATCAATCATTATAAATGCTACAAATAGTAAACTAATTAACTTTTGTTTCCATGACGCAAGTATGCGATTTGGCTATAAATTCCATATTACCATATTGTTTAAAAAGTAACATGATGTAAGGGGAAATAGTTATTGTTAAGCCATTAGTTAATTAATTGTACATTAATGTTTCCAAAAAAAAAAAGTTTTCTTACATAAAATGATGAAAAGAAGGACGGAGAACTGACTCACGCGTTTCCGACCAAACCCTCTCAAGTAGTTTTGGAGTTGGCAAAATAAAAATAAAAAATAAAAAATAAAAATAAATTATTCGCCATTTATAAAGTTTCACCACTTTCCTTTTCTATTAAAAAAATATCAGTTTTGTGAAATTGCGATTATGATGTCTTCTTCTTCAGTTGCTGAACCCGCCGGGATGATAAAGAAAAGCTATCATCGTCAGAAGTCTCAGGTAAGCTTTGTGTGTCCATAGAGATTTTGATCTTTAAAAACAAGAACCTCTTTGTAAACGAAGACGGTGTTGGATGTTTTGATTACACAGAGATTATGGGCAAAGCTGGTGATGAGGAAGTGGTTGAACATAAGTGCTAGAGATCCTGAGTATGGTGCTGATACTGAAGACGAATCCGAAAACGACGACGTTGGAGATGAAAACCAAGACTCCAGCAGCTCCGACGAAGGTTTGTTTCTTCTTTAAGAATCATCATCATCATCGGTTCTTGTTTTCCGGTTTTCTTACCGGTTTAGCAGATTGTGAAGAATCAAGCACGCAAAGAAAAGAACCGGTTCAACCAAAGGTTTGTGAGAACGCTGAGGATGCCATCGCCGCTGCTTCTGCCACCGTAGACGCCGCCGCAGCTGCCGCCGAGTTTATGAACAATGGTAATGCCCTGAGCTCTTAGTTCAATCCCTTTACTGAATAAAATCTTTTACAATAATTGATGAACTCAAAAAAATAAAGATAAAAAGTTAATAAATCTTTTTAATAATTGTTTTTTTTGGTGACATCAGATGCTCCAATGAAGTTAAGGAGAAGAAATTCTGAAACTTTAAGAGCACAATATATTAACAACAAAGAAATAAGGTACGATCTTGAATGTTTAACTCTATTTTATATTGTGCATCTTTATTTTTTTTTTTAATTCTAGTAGTATAGTACTATATAGTATACAGATTCGGATCCTTTCACTCTTGTTGGGTAAAAAGGAGACCTAAAACAACATGTCGGAATTGAAATAAACTTGTGTGTGTGTGTGAGCAGAGTATGTGTTGGTACGTGGAACGTAGGAGGAATATCACCACCATCTGATCTTGACATCGATGACTGGATCGAAATTAATCAACCTGCTGATATCTACATTCTTGGGTAAACCACATTTGACTTTTTTCCTCAAAACGACATGGACAAAACTAACTCTGTTCAATACATTCTTCTTCAAAGATTCATTATGTTTTTTTTTTTTTTTTTTTTTTGGTATGAAGTTTACAAGAGATTGTTCCTTT